GTTTGATAAAAAAGAAAATGTGAAATACCTTTTAAGAGGGAAAATAGTTGCTCAAACTAGAGGCACGGGTTTTTTTTTTTTTTTTTTAGTTGAAAGTGTCACTTTCTGGTGTCTAATCATTTTTTTTTCTGCGAAAGACTATGGGGTTGTTCTTTTATATTTTTAAGTTATGGTGATTTGAGTGATAATTTTGAGTTGAACTTGAATTATAACTTGAGTTAAAGTTATAACTTGAGTTTGTATTTAGATGTGTACATTTAAATTATGATTTAAATTGAGAATCTTTTTGAGTTTATGTTTGGATGGGTCAAAACTTAAATTTGTATTTAGATAGTATTTTAATAAAAACTCAATGGTGATGAAAAATTTTAGTAGGGTATATGGGTGTGGTTTTATTCGTCTTTTCGTTGTGAAGGCATAGAAAAAAAAATTATCTCAATCAGAATTAAAATGAAAAGTTATGGTATTTTTAAGAATAGAAAAAATAATGTTTATTAACTTGAGTTCGAGTTTATTAACTTGAGTTGAAAGGGAAACTTGAACTCAAGTTTAGTCCCAAACTTAAGTTCAAACTCAAATGTTACAAAAGAACATGAACTTAAATAAAATTGTAACTCGAGTTTAAATTTTTTATGAGTTTCGTCACAAAAGAACAACCTCTGTATTCTTTTTCTTTGATCTATATAATTGCAAAAACAAGCCACTAATGTCCAAGAATAGAATCAACTTTCTTTCTTTTTTTTTTTTTTTTTTTCTTTTTTTGTGTTTTTGTTGAGAAGAAGAAAAATCACCTCCTTACGCCATTTTTTGTGCTCTTTTTCCTTCGTTGTTTTGGCTGAAGGCAAGCTTACCTCACTAAACAGTTATAGCAATAGATCTGTAAAGTTAAAATACGTTCCATTAGAGTTTTAGAGGTTGTTCTTTTACATTTTAAAGTTAAAATGATTTGAGTGATGATTTTAAGTTAAATTCGAGCTGTAATGTGATATTTTTTTAGAGCTTTTTACTGTAAAAATCTAGAACTGAAAACTCGAATTGGTGAAATGAACGAGGTATAAGTTAAAGTTATAACTTGAATTTGTGTTTAGATGTGCACATTTGAGTTATGATTTGAATTGAGAATCTTAGTTTGTATTTAAGTGAGTCAAAATTTATATTTATATTTATATAGTATTTTAATAAAAACTCAATGGTGATGAAAAATTTTAATAGGGTATATGGGTAGGATTTTATTCGTCTTTTCGTTGTAAATGTATAGAAAAAAATCATCTCAATCATAATTAAAACGAAAAAATTATGACATTTTTAAGAATAGAAAAAATATTGTTTATTAACTTGAATTCGAGTTTATGAACTCAAGTTGAAGGGGAAAAACTCGAGTTTAGCCCCAAACTCGAGTTCAAATTCACATTTTACAAAAGAACATGAACTTGAATAAAGTTGTAACTCGAGTTCAAACTTTTTTAGAGTTTCGTTATAAAATAACAACCCCTTAGTTATCATATTTGTCTTTTCATTGCATAATCTTATTTGTATTTAGAGTAATTAGTATTATTAGTCTGTGAGCATTTAAGTAACTAGTTAATTAGTATGTGATCTTTTAATTTTAACAGTGTCATCCATCCTATAATTCTTGAGTCTCGTTCATTTAACCAATTTGAGTTTTCAATTCTAGTTTTGTTACGGTCAAAAATCCTCATAAAAAATCATATTTAACTTTTTCTGTTACAGTGAAAAGTTCTCACACAAAATTATATCTCAATTCAAATTAAGAATTCATATTCACGAACTAAATGAGACCTAATTTACTAACAAATTTAGTCCAATTGAAAATATCCATCTAATTTTTAACCAAAGGTGTACGAAAATCCAATTGTAACCCAAAATTACTAAAATTCGCTGTAAAAAAAACAAAAACAAAAAAAAAAAAACTAAAAATCCTAAATGATAGCGACTCTTGAAAAGGAAGAGAAAATCTAAAGGAACACCATCACGCATACTCGGAGCGCAAAGAGGGACTAAAGTGACGATTTCTTTCTGAGTTTGGAATGGCTCAATGGCCAAGCCACCTGAGATTTCGTCTATGATCACTTTTTGTCAAGCTTTGGGCTTTCCTTGGATCGTTAGTAACGCTGATATGGATATCTCCTACAATTAAGTCGATTGCCACCGGAGAGGGGGGAAGATATTTTTTTTTTAATTAAAAAAAAAAAAAACCATCAAAGCTTTAAACATGGTCAAATATTATGAGGCTTCTATTGATCCTGAGTCGCGATAACTCGAGATTTGGGGTGTGGGATCCACATGCTTTTGGAGTTGTCCGGAGAGTTAGTTTTTGAATGAAAATTTAGGCCCCGTTCACTTTGTTGATTCGAGTTTAGAATTTAAGTTTTTTTATAGAAAAAGTTCTCACAAACAATCACATCTAACTTTTTTGTTACAGTAAAAAGTTCTCACATAAAGTCACATCTCAACTTGAGTTCGAGTTTCTGAACTCGAGTTAAAAAGAAAACTTAAACTCGAGTTTTAGTTCTAAACTCGAGTTCAAACTCAAGTTCAAACTTGAGTCCGTTTAGTTCGCTGATTCGAGTTTTTAATTTAAGTTGAAATGTGATTTTATGTGAGAGCTTTTTACTGTAGTAAAAAAGTTAGATGTGATTGTTTGTGAGAGTTTTTTACTGTAGCAAAACTCAAATTCTAAACTCGAATCAACGAAATGAACGGGGCCAAATAGTATTTTTTATATTCTTAAAAATGCTATAATTTTTTCGTTTTAATTCTGATTGAGATGATTTTTTTCTATGCGCTGACAACGGAAATACGAATAAAACTAGACCCATATACCCTATTAAAATTTTTCATCAGCATTGAGTTTTTATTAAAATACTAACTAAAAATAAATTTAAGTTTTGACTTACTCAAACACAAACTCAAAAAAGATTTTTATCTTAAAGCATAATTCAAATGTACACAACCAAACACAAACTCAAATTACAACTTCAACTCAAATTCAACTCAAAATATACACTCAAATTACCTAACTCAAAAGCATCAAGGACAAGCCCAATCGCCTTTATTTGCCGAACAAAGGGATTGTCTTAATATGACGGATCAATTCAGCAAATGTAATTTTTGTTATGTTCGTGTAACATTATTTTTATCTGTGTAACACTTATCTTAATATAATATAATACTTAATAAATATAATCTAATACGTGTAATTATACGGACACACGAAAAATAAAAATTACATGTACAAGTGTGCCATATTACATATTACACGTATACTACGTAGAAAGAAAATTACATTCGCCGGACCGTATGATCATGGAACTTACCGTATGTATCCACAGATATAATATATGACATTTTCTAATATAACAATAGGGAGAAGATTTGACGAAAGCTTTTCTAAAGTATCTTCTCTCCTCCATCGATTCAGAGGTGCCAAAAAGGCTTGAACGGGACGTCATTTTCAATTACACTGTGACTCTTCTTCCTTATAGGATAAGATCTGAAGAATATCAGATACACAGCATTGACCCTGCCTCAAATTAATATTTTATTTAATATTTTTGTTTTTCCTTTAATTAATTTTTCAAAGCTTCTGACACTGCTTCGATAAAATTGAGGATTAACCCACCATTCTCTGGATAATTTGGGAACTTGGGTCGATTCCCATTTCGCAAATTGAAAGCCAATCAACGAAATCCATTTCCCATCCACCCAAAATTGAGCTCTTTGATTCGTTCTTCTTTCTTTTGTCAATAAAGCTCTTTGTTTCTGGTTTTGTGGAAACGGTTGAAATCACTCACGAGAACCTCGAATTTCGGTTATTTGGATACTTTACAAGGACAGGCAAAAAGATTGGGGGTTATGAATTTCTTTCTGGTGAGTATATAAAGAAAAGAAAAAAAGCTTCTGGGTAGCAATAAACAATGAAAAAAAATTTTTTTTTTTTTTTTTTTTTTTTTTTTTTTTTTTTTTTGTATGACGTGTGGTTAATGCGTCGTTTATCACCGGCTATTTTGGGATTTGTAAGATTTTTCCCCCCTTTTATTCTGTTTATCCTTTTTATGGTTGTGGTCGGTGATAAGTTATTTAGCAGGACAATCAATTCCGATAATAAGTTTAATTTGGTGGTGTTTTTATTTCTGAAGAGTTAAAAGATAAATTTATCTTTCCAGAGGTTTACATTTTCAAAAACCAAGGATTCTATTGAATTTGGGGTTTCATTTCTGAATTGGTTAGTATATTTTTGGTTGTCAATTTGTTTGGAAAGTAGGTCGGTGAGACTGATGCTTTGGTTTTGACCATCAGATATTTGTTTCATGAAGCTTCTGATTTTTGGATCTTTCTGGTATTTTCCATCTCCTTATCCCTTATTTTATCTCCCGGTCTTGCTCTCTCTTTTTGTCAGTGGTTTTCTTTCTTCCTCTTGCTGACCAAATGCCGTTTGTTGCTTTATTGGATTCTTATTGGAAACTAAAGCTTACATCTTTGGCTTCTCTTATTTTGTTCTCGTTCTTTGTTTTCATGGATTTCCTTTTTATTGATATGAGTACTATCTCTTACTATTTTAGGGCTAGTTTAGTTCGCTAATTCGAGTTGAGATGTGATTTTATGTGAGAGCTTTTTACTGTAACAAAAAAGTTAGATGTGACTGTTTCTTAGAGTTTTTTACTGTAGTAAACTCGAATCGGTGAAATAAACGGGACAATATCTCTAATGGATTGCTTATTTCTCTTATAATGACATATTAGGAGGTTTGTTTCTTTTAATTGTTATCTTGCGTATTCCTCTCTTTAGGGTAGTTCGAGCATAATTATGCCTTTTTCTTTAGCCTCTCTTTGGTTATTCTATGTCCAAATAAATCTTGCATAGTGGTGTAATTTCATTTCATTAACATTGATGCAGGATTTGAGTTCTGTTCTTATGGAATATCTCAAATCATTTAGTTGAAATTGAAGGAAGCTGTTGAGGAGAGTCAAAATCTTGAGAGTGTTATGGAGAGTTCTTATGAAACTTCAAATGGAAATGGGCCAACAGATAATGGACACGCTCCTGGGATTCACTCCTCTCATAAACCCAACATTAAGGTGTCATTGCCTTGGCTTGATTTAAAAGTGTTTTATGTTAGAATTAGCAATTGCGAGATCGACGATTCCACTCCTGAGTACCTCACCTTGAATCATGTTCCGCTGGATCCTGACACCCTTCTCGAAGTTAATGGTGTTAGAACTAGCATATATTCGGATGGGGAAGCATCCCCAACCCTTCTTCGAAGGGATCGGTTAGATAAGAAATCTGAAGAAGTTACATTCATAAGCACTGACAGTATAAGGATTACTGGAAGTGTGAAATTTGAGGTCTTTGACAAGGATGTTCTTGTGCTATCCGGGGTTTTGGAATTGTGTGATAGTAATGGTTTCACTGGAGAAGCAAATCCGCATGGCCAAATATGGAGCATGGATTGTGAATCAAACATAATTGCCGATGCTGGCTTTCTCAAAGGGAAGCAATTGCTGGGTGCAGAATCGGCTTCGCCAACAATTGAGGTCTATATTACCGGGTCATTCTTTGGGACGCCAATTATCTTAACAAAGACGCTGCAACATAGTTCTAGGAAGAAGCATACAAGGAAGTTGTTGTTAGATTCAATACCAGAGTATGATGCAACAGAAGACCAGAAAGAAGCTCCTTCCGAGCTAGCTTTGCAGGTATTTATTTTCTCTACCAGATAATTGCAACTTAAAGTGATGTTGCCGGATTTTTATTTGCGGATTTCCAAGTTATATTACTATTATGTGAAGAAATATAGAAGAAAATTCTCCTCTGATAGTTTATTACGTGAAAGGCAAAGGCCTTATACAGAGAAACTTGACTACAGGGCTGTCAATGATTCTCCACAAATATAGAAACTAACAATTCCTTAATTTAAGGAAAAGATCACTGAATTAAAACTAGAGAGATAATAGGAAACAACCTTCCTTATCCCTTTATTTGGAAACAACCTAATAGGAAAAAATCCCTAAAAAATAGGGAACAAGAACCGGGAAATTCTTCAACACTCCCCCTCAAGTTGGGTTTCCAAGATTCAACATGCCCAGCTTGTCAATCTGTCTTTCGAATATCTTGCTAGCTAGAGCTTTTGTTAGTACATCTGCAACTTGATCACCAGTAGACACATAGGTTATGCACAATATACCATCCTCAATTTTTTCTTTGATAAAGTGTCCATCCACTTCCACATGTTTTGTTCGATCATGATGGACTAGATTATGGGAAATACTTATGGCCGCCTTATTATCACAGTAAATCTTTAGAGGGAGATTTATTTTCATCTCCAATTCTTCAAGCAATAGTTTCAGCCATAGCATTTCACAAATACCGAGCCACGGCTCGAAATTCAACCTCAGCACTGCTCCGGACCACAACTGTTTGTTTCTTGCTTCGCCAAGTAACCAGATTGCCCCATACAAACGTACAATACCCTGAAGTAGACCTCTTGTCTTTAATAGAACCTGCCCAATCTGCATCAGTGAATCCCTCAATACTCCTGGACTCATTCCTGCTGAAAAACAAACCTTTATTAGGCAATCCTTTGAGGTACTTTAGGATTCGGAGTACAGCCTCCATGTGTTCTTCGCAAGGAGCGTGCATGTACTGACTAACAACACTCACAACGAATGCAATATCTGGTCTGGTGTGGGAAAGATAGATAGATGAGCTTTCCAACTAGTCGCTGGTATCTCCCAGTATCAACAGGAGTTCCATCTTTCTTCTCTCCTATCTTTGTTGTGGAGTCCATACGTGTGTCTACTGGTTTACAGCCTAGCATCCCTGTTTCCTTTAACAGATCCAAGACATACTTTCTTTGAGTGACTGATATTCCTTTCTTGTTTCTAGCAACCTCCATACCAAAAAAGTACCGTAATGGTCCAAGATCTTTTATCTCGAATTTAGCTGCTAATCTGGTTTTCAGTCTTGTCATCTCCATTGTATCGTTTCTTGTCAAAATTATGTCATCCACATAGACAATAAGAATTGTACTCTTACCATCTTTGTGTCGATAAAAGAGGGTATGGTCGGTATGAGCTATACCCCTGTTGTACGACCGCCTTTGTGAATCTGTCAAACCAGGCCCTTGGGGACTGCTTCAAACCATAGAGAGCTTTGTTTAGTCTGCAGACTTTCCCTTTCTTCATGTCTTTGTCAAATCCCGGTGGAAGATTCATGTAGACTTCCTCTTCCAAATCACCGTTGAGGAAGGCATTTTTCACGTCAAGTTGTTGTAGATCCCAATCCAGGTTTGCTGCAAGAGATAGAAGTACTCTGACTGTATTGAGCTTGGCAACGGGGGCAAAAGTCTCTTTGTAATCAGTACCATATGTCTGAGTGAAGCCCTTTGCAACCAGTCTTGCTTTGTATCTCTCAATCGTCCCATCAGATCGATACTTCACAGTAAACACCCATTTGCACCCTACTGAAGCTTTCCCTTCAGGTTTCTCTACGAGATTCCAAGTTTGATTCTTTTCAAGAGCTTGTATTTCCTCTATAACCGCCTTTCTCCATTCTGGAATCCTCAAAGCCTCCTGTATATCTCTAGGAATCTTCTCTTCTGACAGGTTAGTAATAAACGCTTGGAGAGAAGGTGAAAATGACTGTAGGAAACATAATTGGAAATAGGATGCTGAGTACAAGAACGAACTCCTTTTCTCACAGCAATAGGACAATCAAGATCACTAACCTCAGGTGATGAATTCGGTTCTGATTCATGGCAAGGCTGTAGGTCCACAACGTTCTCTTTTCTTTGTAAGGCTTTTCTCCGAGAATAAACACGTAACTCACGTTGCTGTTGGGAATCTCCCCCTTTCCTAGAGTTGTCATTGTTTATGGCAGACTCTAGGTCATTTGTGGCTGGTGTGGATTCTTGTGTTTGCTCGGCTGGAGTGGGTGGATCAGCTGTTTGTTCGGTTGGTGTGGGGGGGTCGGCTGGAAGAGGTAGGATAGGGCTTGGTGTGGGTTCCCAAAAAACGGCTTCATCCCCAATCTCCCCCTGAAGCATATTTTTGTGGTAAAAGGGTTGGTTTTTAAAAAAAGTGACATCCATGGTGACAAAGTATTTGCGTTTTTCCGGGGAATAGCAACAGTACCCCTTTTGAGTGGCTGAATACCCAAGGAAAAATACAAGGTAAAGCTCAGGGATCTAGTTTGCTTCGGTTATGATCATGAACATGAACAAAAGACTTACAACCAAACACTTTGAGGGGTAACGAACTTACTGACCTTGTTTGTGGGTAGTATTGAAGGAAGAACTGAGAAGGTATTTTGTAGTTGAGAACCCGGGTAGGAAGACGGTTTATAAGATAGCAAGCTGTAAGAATAGAATCACCCTAAAAATATTTAGGGACATTATTAGCAAACATAATGGAATGAGCTACTTCTAAGAGATGTGTTGAGATTCCAGATTTTTAGGCTTAGAATCAGTTTCCGGATTTAGGATAAGTTGTTTCCTGATTTGATTTGATTCAGCAGATAACTTTACTATTCTCTAGGCCACGATTTTAGGAGATTTAGTTTTCACAATTGTATTATAAATAGAAGCCCTATGTACAAAATATTAATTGAATATAAAAAACAGAAAGCATTATTCCTGCTTTCATGGTATCAGAGCCGAGGAATCTCTAACCTTGGCATTCAATGGTGGATTCAACGTCCTCAACGATCACGGGCGAAACGGAGACGGCGGTCTCCAAAACCATGATGTCGAGTGGGTCCGAGAATTCCACTTTCCAGTTCACGGTTGAGAAACTCAACGGGAAGAATTTTCTCGAATGGGCTCAATCGATCAAACTGGTGATCGATGGAAAAGGCAAGTTGGGATATCTCACGAGAGAAACCAAGAAGCCATCCTCTACCGATGCCTCCTTTCATAAGTGGAAGTCAGAAAACTCGATGGCAACCGCATGGCTGGTCAACTCGATGAAGCCCTCAATCGGAAAAACCCATATGTTTCTTCCTACTGCAAAGGATGTCTGGGATGCTGTGAGAGAGACATACTCTGATGTGGAAAACTCTTCCTAAATATTCGAGATTAAGACTCGGTTATGGCAAATGAAACAAGAGGAAAAGGAAGTTACCGAATACTACACAAAGATGAAGGCTCTCTGGCAAGAACTCGATCTGAGTTATGAAGAAGATTGGGAATGCCCTGGAGACACTGTAAGATTTAAGAAGAGGCTGCAGAATGAGTCTTTGAATTTCTGGCTAGGCTCAACCGAGAATTAGATGAAGTGAGAGGAAGAATCCTAGGCCGAAGACCTTTGCCCTCAATCCGTGAAGTTTTTTTAGAGGTACGACGAGAAGAGAATAGGCACAAGGTGATGCCGAAACTCCCTGCCTCCACTGTGCCGATTGGTTCTGGACCAGAAACATCTGCATTGATGACAAAAAGGGGACCAAATGGACCAGGCTAGAGTCAGCAAAGGAAAAAACCATGGTGCGAGCACTGTCACAAGACCGGTCACACTAAGGATACATGTTGGAAATTGCACGGCAAACCACCGGATTGGAAGCCACGGCAGATGAACAAAAATCGAGGATATCAAGCCTTGGTTGATGATCAGAAGGAGAGGAAAACAGATGTTGATAGCGGCGAGTCTAAAGCAAAAACTCCATTCAGTCATGAACAGATGGAATAGCTTTACAAAATGTTCTCAAATTTCCAATCTACTGGTCAGTCCTCCAATAATGTGTCCACTAGTTCTCTAGCCCACAGAGGTAACTTTCTGAAGGCCCTGAATACTGTTTCCCAAAACAGAATTTCCTGGATTATCGATTCTGGCGCATCTGACTATATGACCAGCAATTACAAAATTTTTTCCACATACTCACCTTGTGCCGGCAATGTCAAAGTAAAAATTACAGATGGTTCTCTCTCGACAGTTGCAGGAAAAGGGACAATTAAAATCTCTGATTTCGTAACCCTAGAATCTGTTCTTCATGTCCCTAACCTATCTTGCAATTTATTATCAATCAGGAAATTAACAAAAACCTCCAACTGTTGTGCTAAATTTTTTCCTTCTCACTGTGTGTTTCAGCACCTATCATCGGGGAGGACGATTGGCAGTGCTAAAGAATGTGAGGGACTCTACTATCTAGATGAGGCTGAGGCAAGTGGACAGCTTCAAACTGCAATTGGCGATTCTGCATCTACTTTTAGGGATAGTGAAATAATGTTATGGCACTTTAGAATGGGCCATCCTAGTTTCCAGTACATGAAAAACCTATTTCCTTCTATTTTTTCCAATAAAAGTATCCATGATTTTCAGTGTGAGATTTGCCAGCTTGCTAAACATCAACGTTCTTCATTTACAAAATCAAAGTACCAACCTTCTAAACCTTTTACTATGATTCACAGTGATCTATGGGGTCCTTCTCGTATATCTATTCGTACTCACATAAAATGGTTCGTAACGTTTATTGATGATCACTCTAGGGTTTGTTGGGTTTACCTCCTAAAAGACAAAATAGATGTCTGTGAGGTGTTCAAAACCTTTTACTCCATGGTCCAAACACAATTTCAAACTAAAATCCAAATTCTGCGTATAGATAATGGGACGGAGTATTTCAACACTATCTTAGGAGAATTTCTCATGACAAATGGGATTATTCACCAGAGTTCATGTGTTGACACTTCACAACAAAATGGAGTTGC